TGGCGGCGAGGTCAACTCCCTTGATGCCTCTCCGCGGCAGGTCAATCCGGGTCTAACCCTCTGAACGGTCGGAAATGACAGTTCCTAGACATGCCGAGTCAGGTCACCCATCTCGCCATCTTTGAGGGTTACTCATAAGGCTCAGTGCGCCCAAAATCAGGGGTGCCCTGAGTTCCCCTAATTTTTGTTGCCAAGTCATACGAGACTACCATCAAAACACGGATTTGTCCCTGAGCCTAAGTCCCAAAACTGCGGTTCTTAGGCGGCGCACTGCTTGTGGCCGCCTGACAGTTAGCCCAGACCACTTCTCGACGCCCCCGTCGAGGCCCTAGCAACCTACGTCAGACGAAGCGGACAATCTTCAGGGTGATAGCCCGTAAAGGACGCCCACGTCGGCGTTTAATTGTCTTATATTTCAGTTTGTTATGAGTCCTGGGGCTAAGAAGATGTTTCTTGACTCTCATGTTTCTTCTGGTTTTTTGTCCCGACTCGATCCTCTTTTTCTTCTGTCTTTGCCTCGAGAAGGGTGTCGACCTGCCAGTATGTCTAACGCGAACTCTCCGTCTAGCTCGCTTGAGCAAGAATAACCATATCTTCTCTCTTCCTAAAGCTAACCCTTTGACCTTTCTCTTCTCTATTCTTTTCTTTTTCTTGGAACTCTCCCCTGCCTCGAATTGCCTCAAAGGGACTCCATCCTCCATTATAGCTTTCCCTTTCCCTTTCGGGTTGGTTAGCGATAAAGCGGGCGCGGGCCTGGGCCTAAACAACTTTAACCTAGCGCCCGCCACTGGGTCCTTTCACCTAGATCCATCCAATTCTGCTATCATATATGCACCCCAATCGAGTGCCTCAACCACTCTATAAGGTCCCATCCATCTATTTGCGAGTTTTCCGGTCTAGGTCCTCTCCAGTGCCGCGTCGTAGAAAAGGACCATATCTCCTACGCTCACCCTCTCTTTCCTGATTCGCACGTTCTTTTCCCATCTCTCTTTACCCGTGTCCCTTTCCACCACCAGACGATCGGCTGCTGTCATGAGGTTATCTTCTAATCCGTAGGCTATCTGCCTTGTTCGGGCAGCTAAGAGTTCCTCTCTGGACATCTCCTCTGCTCAGTCGACGGTTGTCCAGCTGTCGGCGTGAAACTCTATGGGAAGCGGACAATGTCGCCCAAACCACAACGTGTACGGTGGGTATCCGGTACTAGCCCGGACCGTGACGTTGTCCGCCCATATTGCCTATCGAAAATATCGTAGCCAATCACTGTCCTTACCCTTGCACCACTTGGACAGTGACGCTATCAGAGTCTGGTGTCCCCTCTCTACTGGGGAGTTCGACTGTGGGTGATAGGCGGTGGCTATCGAAACTCTCGCCGCAGCTCTCCTGAACATGCTCTGAACCTCGTCGGCTAGGAATTCCGCCCCTCTATCCATTACTATCTTGCTGACACAACCGTACCTAGATAAGTACTATAGGACAAAATTTTTTACTTCCTTTGCCGCCTTACTCCTGATAGGTTTACCGTCCACGAACCCAGTGAAATCGTCTCGTATGTTCACGATGTAGTTCATATTACCTACCTCTTTCGGCATTTTCACTAGATCGATGTGTACCTTCTCTCATGGTCGGGTCGGATAGCATGGATGAAGTGGCTCTTTGTATTTCACAAGAGCTCTCTTCTGGCATTCTTCGCAGGTCATACAATATCTCTCAACGTCCTTATACTGTCCTTCCCACCAGTACAGCCTGCGTACCTTTTCGTAGGTTCCTTTGACTCCCCTGTGTCCTCCGACTACCCCGTCGTGAAGTTCCGCAACTATCATCAGTCTCTCCTCAGGATCACAGACTACTCGTAAGGGCATTCCCGACCCTACTGGCCTTCGGAAAAGATGGCCCGCTCTAAGGCAGTACTGGGCTGCTTGCCTCCGGATATCTGAATCTTGACTCTCCTCTCCC